TGAGAATTAAATAGGATGCTGTTTACACAACGCTGAATTGCGCGTGGCACGTGGTTAAGCACTTTCATGACCGGATAGACAACACGCATGGCTCAGAGATCTTCAAGAATGACAGGCCGGGGATTTAGCTCAGTGTTCCGCCGCCTGCCTCACAAGCTCAAGGACCGGAGTTCAATCCCCAATACAAAAAACAGAAAACAAAAGAAATTAGAAAGAAAAGAGAAATGGGAAAGAATGATATACAATCCACAGCCTTACTATGTTTGTTGTGATTTTTATGGGTTAACAGCACAGCTGTCTCCAAATATTGGGGGGAATTATTCCGGAACGCCCTCCAGATGTCCAAATCCCTGGTTGAACTCAAGTCCCTTATATAAAAGTGGCACTGAGTTTGGCGATGACCCACAAGTACCCTCTCTTACATTTTAAACCATCTTTAGATTATTTATAGTAATTAACACAGTGTAAATGCTAAGTGAATAGTTATTATACTGTGCTATGCAGGAAATGGTGGCAAGGGAAAAGTCTGTACATGTTCAAAACAGATGCAATATTTTTCCAAATATTTTAGGTCTGCCATTGGTTGAATTTACAAATTTGGAACCCCTGGATAGGGAAGGCTGACTATACTTTTACTTTTCCCTCCTTCTGTTTTTGGTGTTCTATCAACGTTTGGGGACAAGGAGAAGGTGCATTGTTGGCCATTGCTCTGGACCATTGCTCACAGCAGCATTCCGCACCTGTGCTGTTTGATGCAGTAGCCACCAGCTGCATGTGGCAGGTGGATCCTTATCATGTGGCTAGTTCGGTGAGGAACTGAATTTTTAATTTTACTGGAAATCTGGTTCATTTATATCTGAGCTGAAATAGCCACATGTAGTCACCGTGATGGGAAATTACAGGTGATGTTTCCAGGAGGTGGTGGAAGGGACCCTCTCCCTGGAAGCTAAACTTAAGGTGATGCATCTCTTTCCCCCCTTGACCTGACAGGGCCAATGAGATCTCCTGGGTTGGGGTGTGGGGCTATCACAGAGGCCAAGGGATTACTGCATAAGAGAATGCCCATATCACCATGTGGAAACATGGAGCTGCATAAGCCGGGGGCGGAGAGGCTACAGCCTTGTCCACTGTCCTGGGCAGAGCCAACAGCTGAGCTTTGCAAGGAGCAGGGAAAGCTTCATCCGCAGAAAGCTGCTTTACGATTGGAGGAAGACTAAAGAACCCTATCCAATTGGCGCTTTCAGTGCCTGAGGAGGTTACAGCTTCCCTGAGAGACAAACTTCTCTAATGGGCTATTATTAACTCCAGTATCACTTCTTCTGGCTGGTGACCCAACTCTGACCTCCTCTCAGCTTCCTGTGTCCTAGAAACTTACCACAGGTAATTCACAATCCACTCGTCCGCTCTGTCCATTAAGCTCTACGAAGGGAGACACCATGCTGTCTGCCCTCACACATGGCTGCCACCACAGTAGAGTACCTCTGTTGGGAGGTGGTAACAGGGCCACAAGAGTTGAGAGAGGAAAGAGATTCACATTCCCTGAAGTCACTGACAGACAGCGTGGAATCCCAACTGGGCCTTGAAAAATGAGCAAAAATGGGTTGTCCCATGAGAAGAGGGGCGACCTTATAAGGGGTGGGGTGGGGTGTATTCACAGGGCTGTGAGGGAAACCGATGAGCCAGAAGAAACGGTTTGGGAAACGGGAGAGGATTAGCAGGGTGGAACCTGGCTTCCCAAGGCCTCCAGAGCCAGGCAGCTGAGTGAGAACCCCGTGCATCTGACAGGAGCACTGCAAAGCAGAAACCCCTAGGGCTGGGGGTGTGGTACCATGAGAAATCTGACAAGGACTTCAGTTTCCTTGGGATGGCCAGCCCACACCATCACAGTAACTCTGCCCTGAGGTGCAGGCGCAGGTGAACACATAAGAGTCATAAAGGAGTGTTCTAGAAATGACTTAAGTTACTTTCTTGTTGTAGGAACAAAATACCTGATACCCACAAGTTAAAGGAGGAAAGGTTTATTTTATCTCACAGTGTGTCGAGGTTTCAGTCCATAGTTGGCTGGCTGCAAGGCAGGGTGGCACAGCAGAGGAGAAACAGTCCATGGCAAGGCAGGCAGGAAGGAGCAAGCAGCAGCACACCTCCTTTTCTCTTTGTATCTCATCCAGGTTATAAGCCTGTTGCCTAGTGCCACTCACACCTAGGGCGGGGCTTCTGTCTTCAATAAATCCATCCAACCACACTCAGAACTATTAAACAAATTAATGGACTAATTCAGGACCAACCACCCTTAATCCATGTGTCACACATCCATGATCCAGCCACCTCCAGAAAGCCCCACCTATGAGTGCATGAGTCTTTGGGGAGATCTCTAGACACAAGCCCTTTCACCATTTCCTGCATGATATTCTTTTTTCTGCTCTTATCTCTTTAATTTTGACAATTCTGTGGGACAAGGGAATAATACATTCTTATCCCTGTTTTACAACACGGAGAGGTTGGAGGGCTTGCACAAGGTCACACAGGAACTCTGGGGCCTAGTTTTGATTCTCTGGCTCATGCCAAATGGCTCTTGAACATGAACCTAGGTTACCAGGTGCCACCTTTCTATACCTTAAGGTAGAGAGGAGCCTTCCTCACCCAGCTTCTCCTATTGACTTGAAGAAATAGTAGGAGTTCTCACCGAGGAGAGGCCAGGAGCCCAGGGCCCCCTTCATTAAAATAAATTCTGCCTGATTCTCCTGATTCTAAATAGAAGAAAATGTAGATTTGGAGCAGAACCGAAGGGAAAGGGATTTCCCTTGGTAAATTATTTGCAATTTGTGGATTGGAGCTGACCCAGCTCCAATTCCCTCTGTCATTGTAAAGAGTCATTTAAAATGTGACCAGCTCATTAAAGAAGGAGAGCTGGAGGCAGGTGTCCCTCAGGGCCTCAATGAAACAGGAGCAGAGCTTCTTCCCCATGGCGCCTTAGGCTGCCGCTTCCTGCTCTGTGGGAGCAAAAGTGAGCATGTTTACGGTGGTTTGTGTCTTTCTTTAGGCATGAAAAACTAGTTGTCCTAAATACTTAAATTCATGGTCCTCAGATCACTGATGTGCAGCAGATGTCCTGTTCTTGACATTGCCAGTGAACCGAGGCCCAGGTCTACCTCTACGTTTTGATTTTGGTGGTGCCAGAGACAGCCCCAGGCCTTGAACGTGCTAGGCTCCAGCGTGAAGCCCTGACTCTGCCCAGGCCCTGCTTTAAGAGATACCAGGTGATTCTGAAGCAGGTGGTTGTGCAGACCACTGCTGAGAAACAGTTCCAGAGGGCACTAGTGTGTAAAAGTCCAAGTGCGCCCCCGTGGTTTAAAGGTCCTGTGGCTGCCGCCGGCACAAGTCCTGGGAGCTCCAGTGTTTACCGAGAAGGTAAGCTACTCGCTGGGTAACCTGAGAGACATTCTCAAGGCTTGCTTGACTAACGAGGTCTTCAAGAGCTGGCAAATCTAGAGTTCCAAGGATTACCTTCTCTCATACTCCTTTTAAACCATGGAGAGCTTATGCAGAGCAGCACTTTCTATATTTTTATCATTAGTGAAGAAAAAAGTCTCCCATGGCACATCCACAGCAGGCTTCTAGAATGCACCTGTCTGCAAGGCCCTGTCCGCAAGGCCCCGTCTGCCAGAGCCCTGGGCTCTCCCTGCCCCGCCTTTCTCGGTCCCCAAAGGCTGTGCCTGTGAGTTAGAGATCTAGGCAGAGGGACTTGTAAAGTCTCAGGTGAGTTTTCCTTTCTGTGGGACCTAAAGAAAATCAGTGGATTCCTGTTTCCCCTTTGATGTGAGTCATCACTTTCTCCTCAGCTGTGGAATGGATGGGGGAGGTGGCCCCCGGCCTTCACAATGAAACTGACCCCGTATGAAATGAATGTGAAAATTCCATTTATTAAAACAAATACATTGTCCATGTGGGATGAAAATGTGCACATCACATTCAGGTTTTCCTGCTCTAACATTTCCGCATTTCCCTCTCTTTCGAAGACACATTTCATAAGTCTCTTACAGGAAAAATGTGAACAGTTCTTGGGCTGAGAAACAGTAATGTATATATAGCAATTCATCATTGCCAGGAGCAACTAGAAGCAAATATTAAGAAAGAAAGAAAGAGTGAAAGGAGGGCAGGGACAAGGGGACAAAATGAGAACCAAAACCTGTCATGTAAGGGTACAAGATCCCAGTAATGAATGTAACTGTACTGTATACCTGAATGTACCAATAAACTCAGTGAGGAAAAAAAGAAAGAAAGGTTTAAAAATCCCCTAAGATATTGTGCTTGATTTTCTCAAAATCCTTTATGTGACCACGAGTATGGAGAAATTATTTTTATTGTTTCGTTTTTCCTTGTCAATCTCTTCCAAATATTATTAGCAAAATCAGATTCAGATCAAGATTCTTATTTTAAATTCTGGTTTAAGTAATACTTGATCCCAAATAAAATAACAAATTTTAAATGGGAGTTAATACTGAGACTGTTGCAAATAGTTTTCCTTTATAGAGTTGGCAATCTAAATATCTCTATTGCGTTTACTGACTAACTCCATGGCTGATTCTCATTATTATTATCCCATATTTTCTATAGGTATAGAGAAATAAGGGCCTTAATTTATTAAATTGAATTTTCCAAATAGTCTCCCTTAAGATAAAATTATGCTGATCAAAATTATTGTTGACTTTCTAAAGAAATTACGCTCTTTTGAGCCTAAATAACAAAATAAAAACTTTTTGGCTTTAATAAACACAAATACCCAAATACCAATAAGTTAAAACTCATATAATGATTCTGATACTATAACTCCGTAGTGTAACACATGAAAAGGTACAAAAGCCAAAACATCTTCCCTAACTTCAGATGGGCTGTGTATTTTCTGTCCTTTTCTCTTTTTATGAGCACAGTCATATTTGCAACTTCTTTACCTGGTATTTGCCAAACCAGTATTTAAAGTACTTCTTAAAATTTTTAGTTCCATTTGAATTGCTCCAAAAATCTCAGTTTATGTGGAAATACAGCGAGTCCCTCCGAGAAGAAGAAATGGCATGGATTGGAAACTAACTGGGCTTGCTGCTAGCACTTGTGTAATCACCACACACTGTTTATGTTTCAGCTTGCTTTAAAAATGCAGTTTTAGCTGATTCCACAGCATCTCTGAGCTAACTGTACAAAACTGGGGTTCAATAAATACCCTGCCAACTTTTTGTTCACCCTCTAAGGACTGTCATCAGCAGTCCACTGGAGCAAAACCCCAAGGTTTGTTCAGAACAGAAGTTTGTTACAGAAATGCATTCAAACATGTCAAAAATGCTCCAGTACCCTCTGTTCCCCCACCCCAGGCATGAGCTGGACGCATTTCTTCTCTCATCAGCAAGTCCATAAAGAAGCCGAGGAGAATACTTAGCGAGTCTGTTTCAAAATCTGTCCCTGGCATGATAAATCTTTTCTTTTCCTCCCTTTTAGTACTTTTTTTAATAGGAAAAAATGAGGAAAGAGAGGAGGATAAAATTAATTGGGAGTTAATGGTCTTTTGGGGTTTGAAAGTAAGCAGCATGTGAGAGGCCCCCTGGGAGTAGAAGTGACACAGGAAAAGAGCGACACAGTCTCGCACAGGGCCACCATTTCTGAGGAGGTGCCAGCTACAAGCAGTGAAAAATCACTCGCAACCTCTCTTCGCGGTGAGGGAGCTCTCTGGACGCAAGGAAGTTGTAAATAAGGACTGAAAGACGTAGAGAAGAAAAGCAAAGATTTATGTGACAACCCAAGAAATGAAAGATGCAGGCCATCTCAGAGCCAGCCAGACACTTTTCGAGCCAGCGATGGGGGCTGCACTGCGACCCACAAAGTGGGCTCTGGGGTCCTGGCCTCTGCGGGGAAGCCGCTGGAGCTCTCACTCGGGCCACCTTCTCTGTGCTATGGGTTTGTTTCTTCTGGGACTCCAACAAAGGAGAGCCCTGGGGTTCTCGTTAGGAGCACAGAAAGCATTCTTGCAGTCTATAATTTCTGCGATTTGGCAGAAGAGGGAACTTGCTTATATTCTCTGGCAAAGCACTTTTCAACTCATGGTGAATCTTAACTGTTCTGCTTTGAGGGTGCTTGTGCTGCCCTGGATGCTGGATAAACCAAAATGCTTTGGATTCTGGAAACTAGAGAAGAGGCGCTTATACCATGGTTAATTAGGAGGTATTGTAGGCATGGCTAAGGCTCTGAAGTAATCTCAACTTTCACACTACGGAGGTTTTTCCTCCCCAGTCTTTCTCTCGTTTCTTTTCCGACTTTTGTAGTAAAACAACATACTTCTGAATGGATGTAACATAGGGACATTTTCATGCAGTATTACTCAAAAATCATCACAAAGATATGAAAGCACCAGTCACAACACATGATTTACTTGCAGAATCAAAGCTATCATGTATAAATATTAGGAATAGTGATAAGAAAACACAGACAACCGGCAATTCGTTTTTGTTATTACCACGAGGGACATCTCCTTAAGCATTCTGGATGTTCGTCCTTGGAGTTCAGTCTTGCACAGAAATCCGCCTTATCTCCAAACTACTCTAATGAGGAGGGGCAGGGGAAAGGGGAAGAGGAAGAAAGAAAAAGAAAGGCACAAGGACTAAATATCGATGCCATTAAAACCATACTGCGGCTACACTGGACGACTCAGTTTATCAAAGGGTATCTACAGACAATACTCATTCTGAGAAGGCCATACACATCTTAGCTCAGTACAGCTGTCTGTTTTAATGTTTATTTTTTAAATATGAAGCAGAAAGGTAAGGTCTTGGGGAGAGGGGAATAGCAGAAAAGAAGTGACACCAATTTTATTTTTTATACATTCCCCTCCTCCAGGCAGGTCTGCAGAATCAGATCTCTTAAGTCAGGATGTGGCTTGGCTTTCATTCTCAGAAAAGGGACCAGTTCTTTAAACATGCACAGCCTGGAGTTTCACGATGTTTCTCCTCCCTCTTTTTAAATGCCGTGGACATGAGGAAGGCGCCCACTTTGCTAGAAACTCTACGGCAATGTCCCGGGAGCCCGGAGGCTCTTCAGCCTCCTCCTGGAGACTTAAAGGATGGCGCAGAAGAACTTCTTCTCCCGAAATGGGTTTTCTGAGGCCGGGACAGGGGTCAGCAGGGGGTCCTCCTTGGCATGCGCCTCACAGTAGGCCATCAAGTCTGCAGCTGCCTTGGAGACCTGGAAAGGAGGACAGAAACAACCGGAGCTGTGGGCAGGCACGGACTCAGGAGCCTGGAGCGCTCAGGTGAGGCCCAAAGCATTGGGGTCCGACAGCCTGGGCTGCCTCCTTGCTCCACCGCTGCGTGAGAGCGTAGCAAGACACAACCTCCTACAAAGTCTTTCCTCACCTGCAGGGAAGCAGGCCGATGACGCTGAGCTCACAGGATGCTGCCTGCAGGTCCAGGATGAGGGTAAGGCAAGGGAGACACACAAGGCCAAAGTCCAGGGGGGCACTCACGGTCAGCATCATGGATCTGTCGGTGCTGCCCTTGGACAGCCCCGAGAGTGGGATCTCCTCAGTTTTGGACCCCAGATACCTCACTTGCCCTTCCCTAGTCCTGGCCCTAGTTGCAAAGGTGAAAGAAGTGAGATATAACCCCCGCCAATTATTTAGGGCCTGGCATGTAGGAAACTCTGCACAGGCTAGTTACTATGGTCACTCCCTGGTTGGGTCTCTCTGTTCCAGGGACTGTACCAGGGGATGCCTAAAGCCATGCTGATTTTCCTCTTTAACCAAAAAAATGCAGATGTGTGTGTGTGCATTTGTGTGTGTATGTATACACAGATACACAAATTTAACCTTATGTGGTACATATTTACATCTTTTTATTATATATATTCATATACACACCAGTAAATCATAAAAGTAAATATAGCAATATATATGTCCAACCATTGATAGTAAATCTTAAAACAGATGTGCCCTCAATCACCATTATTATGACACAGTATTATCACTACGACTCAAACAGAGCAGTTTACCTTTTAGGGCTGCTTCACTGGAGGCTGTCAGTAATTTTGGTAACACTGTCATTTCTTCCAAAATCTATGCAGCTAGTTCCTTATCAGCAATCACCATAGGACCTTTCTTTGATCAGCCTCAACAGCGGCACATTTTCACTGCCTACGGCATTGATTTTATTTTGAGAAATAAACTACCACATCTGGGGACCAGGTAGAAGATCAATCAGGAGAATGTTATTTGGGGTCAGAAACCATACAGTCAAGAGTCAGTTGCTTATTGACATAATACACTTGCTCCGACGATCACGCCAAAAGATTTGTGCTACATGAGAGCAACGTCACTGTGCTACTATCAAAGTTTCTCAGAGTGACTGCTGAAAACATAATCCCCCATGAGAGTTGGGTAGATTACATTATTGCTGAGACTCTTCATCACCCCTCCCTAGAAGAATCGGACCTACACAATGACATCAGACTTCGCCATGTCATTTGTGGGTTGCTCACGCCAACGAAATTCAAGCAGAGCTGACATGGATTGCATTTGGACAGAACAACCAGGGCCTAGTTTTCCCACTGCCACTTTGCCCAGCTGAAAAGAATCACTAGAAATCCCTTCTCTGACTCAAAGGTTTCTGCACATGGCATAGTGGCCCATTCTTGATGTGCTCCTAGCCCCAGGGCCGAGTTGATTAGACCCCAGTCACTTAAAGGTACATTAATTTTATGATTTATTGGTTGGGCATGAAAGTTGTTTCATCTTCCTATTCCATAAACCCTTGGGCTTCTGGGCTCTCTGTTCCCTTTGTCACAGACTTGACTGAGGCCATATTCCAGATAGAAACTGTTTCCTCGTTTAGGGTTCCCAATGAATGTGACACGGTGTGGAACGGCAGCTGATTATACAAGGCTGCACAGTGGGTCTACAATCATAAACCTGCTTTGTTCCAGACATTGAGTTAAATTTTCTCCTCTGATCTCCACAACAATCCTGAAGTACAAATTACTATCTGCCTATTATAGATAAGAAACTGAGGCTCAGTGGATTGCATGAGTTGTTTAATGTCATCCAGCACAGCATAATAGAGAAATGAACTTGAAACCTGATGTTTTGTAATTAAGCCACAACCGCCTGCATATAAAATATTCAAATGTGGGGCTAGTTCCAGAGATCGAAGTTGAAATTCTTTATGAAGGGCTACTATGACAAAATAAAAGGAAACAATCTGTTTTCGTCTTAGATTCCCTAAATGAAAGTGAAGGTTAGAATTCCAGACAGAATTATGACTGCTTTTTTCATGCCTTTTACTTATTCGAGCAATAGTTATAATTGTACCAAACAGGATCTTAGCTGCTGAGCAGTAGAGACAGTAAGACAGCAACATTGGAATCTGCACTGTCCACCCCTATGCATTAGCAATATTTATGTATGGATAAGTGGCATGAATTTCCTAAATCCTTTTTATGATATAGACAGTACTATAAGGAGCAAAATTAATATCTTAGTCATTAATATCTTATATTGGAATTGATTTTGAATGGTTTCCTTCTCAAGGCATATTATGTTTTATCCTTTTCCCTGAACTAGATTGTGATCTCCAATGGATGACAGCCCAGCATAATGTCAGAATCCCACTTTTAACTAGAATAACCATTCATATTTCTCTTGCAGTGCATCAGAACTGTGCAAACCATTTTACATACAGCATACTATTTAACCTAAACAACATTATGGGTCACAAGCCATTATTATTTTCAACTCGAATATGTGGAGGCTTCAGCAAGCGAGTGTTTGCCCCAGGTCTCAGGTGTGGTGCAGCCAACTGTGAAACTATTCCAGACTTAATTCTTACGGAGACTTTTCCTTTCTTACCTGTGGTCATCTCTGTCTCTTACTTTAAGTCACAGCAATATTCTGCCTAGAAGATCACTTGCTTACTTGTAAGACTTTGAACATAGCTTCTTTTATATTCCTGGGTCTCATTCTTCCATGGAGATCTCCCTAAAACTCTAGAAAATCTCTTTCTTTTCTGTCTGTGGGTTCTTCCTCCCAAATTTCAAATTTGGCTGCTTTTATTGTTACCTCTATTACAACTACCCAAGTTCATACCTTCAACTTCTCCCTCCATGATTACTAAAATAACCACTTACGAGTGGTTAATTGGGTTTCTTAAGAGATGCATGGATAGAATTAGAGAATGGCCTGTCAACTTTGATGATAAAAAAGATTATGTCTTTATTTTCACTGACCTTAAATGAAGATTTGCCATTTCGTTTCACTATAAATATTGACAACCTTTTATAGCAACATGAGTGACTTAGTCACCAGTAGATATCAGATACAGTAATATATTCACGAATGATTCTATTGGTGAATAGAAACGTTTGGCAAAATTTTGCTTCCATTTACAAACTCTGCCTCAGGTAATGAACATGACCATTGGCATCGTCCTCAGAATCGTAGAAAAAATTAAGTTCCTGCCTGAGTCACCATTGTATTTCAACATTATAGCTACATTATAGAACTATAATATAGTTGTATATTACACTATAGAACATTGCATGTATGTTCATTCACTTTATTAAGGCCTTATTAAGGCCTTTATTGAGGCCTTATTAAGCAGTTAATAAAGGAGAATATATAACTATATCACATTTTATGAATAAATTGATACCTGAAAAATAATTATAAGATATTTAAAATATTTATAAACATATTCTGATGAGCTATATTTCAACAGCTTTTTATATAATGTAAAAACACAGTTTCCCTGAAAATGAGACCTATCCAGAAAACAATAAACCTTGAAAGCTAGAGACTGAAAATGCCATCTGCAAACAGCCTATCTTCACCTCACCTGCTTTGCAGAGTAGCCACCGAGCCAGAGAATAGTGATAATCTTATTTTTGGGAAACAAGGCATTATTCTGAGAAGGTTTCAGCAGATATCTAGATTGGCCAAGAGCACAAAAGATTTAAGAATCTCAGTTCTAAGTCATTTGCCTGCTTTTACAACTCTGCCAGGAGTAGTCTCCCTACTGCAGTTAGAAAGATATTTTAAAGACATATTTGAAACCCTCAATAACTTCCCATTACAGTACTTAGTAGAAAACTAAGACATCATAAAAAAGCCCCTGGGTTCTACCTGTGTTGTTCCTGCCCATCTCCAATTTCCTCTTGTACTGTTTTTCCTTCTCAGGGTCTCCTTTAAGTTCTGAAAGCTCTAGGTTCTTTTCAGCCTGGGCGCTTCACATACCCAGCTCTCCAGAGTCTTCTTCTCACTCCCTCAACAAGCTGGCCTGTTCTTTCTCCAGGCACTGGCAGAAAAGTCACTCACATCACAAGCCCTCACTGATGGCCTTTTCCAAAGTGACTTTCCTCACTCTGCTCTCTCTGCGCACCCAACTCTGTTCTCTCTGCATGATTATAATGGCGAACACTGTTAATTTGCTGTCTAATATTTCTTTTTCCCTTCAGACACTCTGCTCCACAAAATCAGGACCCTTAACTGCTATATTCACCACTGTAGCATCACTAACAAGTGACAATTTGAAATCACATCCTACTTATAAAAACGCAATGAACGAATACTTCATCTATGATATGAATGACAACATTCTACTGTCTGAATTTCATCACTGAAAAATATCAAACTCAAATGGACTCAAATTCCATAAAATAAAGAGTCTGTAATCTTCCAAATGGTCCAAGTCATGAACGTCAAGGAAGTCTAAGGGATTGCGTCAGATAGGACAACTGTGCTCAGCACTTAATTCTGAATTGGGCCCTTTTGCTAATTTGCAGTACTTGGGGGGGACTCAGATTAGAATGTAGTAATGTATCTGGGCTGGAGATTTAGCTCAATGATGCTGCATCTGCCTCACAAGCTTTAGGTCCTGAGTGGGATCCCCAGTTCCACACACACACAAAACAATGCATCAGGGTTAATTTCCTGATAGTGATTAGGTAAAAGAAAGTCCATCGTTGTACAAAGTTACGTGAAGGTGATTACTTATTCTCACATGGTTCTGGGAAAGTGAAGTTCTTTCCTCTATATTTTCAACTCTTCTGTAACTTTGAGATCATTTACAGAATAAAAAATACTGCCCAGAAGAGAGGGAAAAGAGAAACTACAGACAATGAGCACAGAAAACTTTTTCAAAGTTATACCACCAAGGGGAGGAAACAAATGAGGTAGTTGCTGGAAGGGGAGATGG